CTACGCTGACTATTGGCTCTTGGTCGCACTCGCGCTTACGCTTACGCTTGCTCTCCTACCACAGCACGGTCGTCAAAGTAACTCTATTCACTGCTGTTAACAAACGAACGTCGCGCTACGCTCACTGCCGTTGGCATCGCTGGTGCTGAACCACAGAGGAATTCGGCTTCAACTTTTCGGCTGCTGGGAGGAAAAACAACTAACCCAAGACGAACCCACGACATCTCAATCGTTCGTTCAGCTTGAGTTTTGTCGGCTCAACGCCGCTTATCCAACGCCTTCCCCGACGCTATTGTGTTCCGATGCGACCGCTGCGACAAACTCTGTTGCTCAATGACGAGGCTGATGAAGCTCGATACATTTGCTGAAGGTGCATAGCGCCAGTGTGCAGTTGTACATACAGATGCAGACACACAAATGAAAACGAAGAGCAACAATAATAACATGTGAATGTTCACCTGACCATAGCCGGCGTCGAGCTCACTAGATCGCTGCGCCCAGCGACTGATGATGACGAGTTTGCCCCGCTCTTAAACTTTCGAAGAGTGAATGCGTGGCTCTATCGTAGCTTTCATCGTTCGTTTCATCGATTGGAACACCAGCTAGCATACGCAACGAGTGCGCCACCGTGACAGATATCGCACTTCCAATAGCCTTGGTACAGCGATAGCCATAGCATGCGAATGACATATTCGGCTCAACTTAATTTTAGGGTTCTCTTCCTCGGGGTATGTAATCGTTTCCTTTTTCGAGTGAACAGCAAAAAAGTAATGATAAAAGAACTCGATTGTGCTAATGTTCAGTCGCAGTCTTTCTGACGGCACAATTTGCATAGAAAAGTGGATAAAAGCTTGATGTGGAACGGCTTTTCAATTTCCAGTCACAGTTCATGTCTCAAGCACTTTTAAGAGCGGTTCTTACCCAGCCCAAATAGAGAGGCTGTGACCATAGCTTTATTGTGGTAGAGGTGTCTCCAGAAGTTCGGTTCCCTCAAGAAGTACTGACAACTTGTCAAATATCAATATTCCTGGTTTTCTAGACTAATTTTCAGAGAGTTCTCGGATCCACCGCCCTATATAGATATAGTTACAAATATAGAAGTTACACAACTATGCAGAACGCATCCGGTGATGGTGGTAGCAAACCTATCATCCTGGTCGCTAGCTCGAATCTGGACACCGCTCAAAAAATGGGGCTCCGTTCCTAAATCTATTACTCCATATCATAACTGCCACAATAAGGAGCTGGGCTACCCGGGTAGCGTGCAGAGACAACCGAATCCTAATGAACACTGGCTTGGAGTTGCCATTAGTGACAAAGCCAGATGTTGATAACGCGCACACACGAGAAGAGTTCACAAGCGTCGAAATATTTAATAGATTATATTGCTTTATAGAACTTGTACTAACGAACAATGATTTACTGTATTGATTAAATTTTGTATAAATGTTTATATTATACATATTTAATGAAACAAAGATTTTTATTAAAAACAGCGGGGATGAGAAGACTTTAGATGAGAGAAGAATTTCGCGCTTGAACGAGTTGTCAGGTGTGTGCGTTAACAATTCGAAAGTGTTTAACAGGTTTGCGTTTATACTGCTGTTTAAAAAATAACTGTATCAACAAACATTCGAATGGCTGGCACCGCATTACGCTATCAATGTTTGACGTTATTACTTCAACATATATTCATCCTAAATCAGAACTTTGGCCTTCCAAAACAGCTATATGTTTCTACGATGGTTCAATCTCGCAAAGAGCCGAGCTTCTCGAAAAGTTTAATACCTACCATTAGTCAACCCGGACACCACAATTAAGACCGATACGCCGTCAACAAGATACGACGAATGGAAGTAAACAAGGTTCGTATTTTTCATTGATCCGTGTAAGGGTTTTTGTTCATATCAGTGGTTAACCGTTGGCGTAGGCTAAGAAAGGCGTATGGGAGCTGCGCTGTTGCTGAAGCTTAACCAGTGCGAAGAAACGCTCACCCGCCGAGCTGTGGGGCTGTGCCTTTTCAGTATTTTTTCTTGTCTTGTTTTCGCCTTCTCTGTTTTGCCCAATAGGGCGCGCAAAAGCCCACTGCCAAGAAGTACGATGATGGTCTTGGTGCTCCGTAAGCAGCGGCGCACAGTTGCCGAGCCATTGGCGTTAAATTTCCCGCCTGACCTCCCGTGGCGTTGTGCCGTCCTCTCGCCGATACATCGCCGAACGCAGGCGACACTGTGCGGCCAGTAGAAGAAGCTGTACAGAACTATCATCAGCCGCTTACTTCGTTTGTAGCTGCGTATCTGAATAGTACGGCAAGGACGTGGAGATGCCATTTGGTAGCGTATGCTATGTCATGGTAGCGAAACTAGGCAAAAATATACTGTCCGTTCGATGTTCTTTTTTTCCTACAGTCGGTTTCTTACCATGTTCTTTCTGCAAAACGTTTTGCACTGCTCGCGTTCGCAGGTTTGTGTACTCCACAATCATCTTGGATATCATTCCGCGAAACCCTCTAAACGAAAAAATCTGAAGACCACCAGTTTGTTGGTTGATCGGCTTGTCGGGGCGTTCGACGTTTTGGGCTAGACCATAATGCCATAAGTGTTCTTTCTGACTATTGGCTTTAGCAAAGCACACAACCGAGGCCATTGGCGGCACTCGTACTTCCACTACGTCTGGATGACGTTGCCGTCGTCTCAGATAAAGCTTTGTGGCAGCAAAGATGACGGAGTACGTGATCCATTGTCGCGTCGACATTGACTTGACTTGGTAGCTGATGCATGAACCTTGGCGGTGCTTGCTTGGTACGCGGCTCCGTAACAGCAGGAGTACTGAAGTGTTTAGTTGGAATAAGGCAAAATATAGTAAAAGATGATCGGCTTTCTCCGCCGCGCTTTGCTTTGAGAGAAGAACAGCAACGACCCCGAACCCAAAACGGTCGAATTGCACTGCTTTATTTTGGCTGTTGGTGGCCATTATTGTCGTGGTTGTTGCTGCCTCTGCCGTTGCTGCTCCCCGCGCATGGGTTTTTCGGTTTCGCGTTTGATCGCTGCGCGCATTTGACCGCAGACACATTCGAACTACGAATAGTTGCGCGAACAATCGGCCCACTAGATTCAACTAATGTACTCTTTTGAAAGTTCGCGACTTACGCGGCTCCGTTAATCATCTAATCGTCAAGATCATGCTCGTGCGCTGTGAAGAAGCTCCCTCAGCATTAGGATGAGTTGATGTCGCAGTGGGGCGGTAGTGGTAATCCAAGATCATGGAGAACGGGCGGACGGAGCGGCAGGCAGAGAATTTACTTGACCGGTCAGAAGGGGCGCTACGGTATTCAGCGAGGCACTTCTTAATGGAGCAATCCCAGCTGACGGCGCGCTACGGACGGTCAGTGCCGTCGGTCGTAAGGTTGAGTGGAGGATTTTTAAAAGCTGGAGGCGTCAAGATGGAGTACCCACAATCAAGCCTAGCTACAGTATAGCTTCGACTAGATATGACACCAATTGTGCTGCAGAAATACGTCACTGTCCAACGATAATCAGCGCGATTTGTCCGCCGGCAGTCTCATATGCGTAGCGGACAGAACGGTGCCCTTTAATTTCAGAAGTAATTCAGAGTTGGGGTAGTAGACTATAGTGTATCAAGCCTGTAGTAGCAAAAATTAAACAACAAACATGGTTTCGCGTGAGGGATCATCATATAGTTGCATACATACAACCATTATTATATATGTATATGTAGATTATGTATTAATTGTTGCTCTACCGTTTAAAAATCATATACAGTTTTACTGTAGATGCACCGCTAATAATTTAATTTCTTAGCAAGAATTCGAAATGGACATTAGTATAAAATAAGGCAATATACTTAACTTGTAAAATGTTAAGTAAGCCGAGGATTCTCAAAAAATGATTACCCATTTGCTGATTAAATTTGAATGTATGCGTCTAATGTATACAGCCTAGCACGTTTACGTAAGCATCTAACGTACTGAGTAGACTAAGGGTAGATTATTAATTATAGCAGCAGAACGCATCACGTCGAGAAATGGAAGCTGTGTGGGTTACGCGTTCCAGGGAACATAAGGTTATATTTAGGTTGATAGCGTGGTCAAATGCTAAAATGAAGAAGTGAACCAGTGACGTATTAGGCAGAATCCAGGAAAAATATGGCTGTCAAGTGATTCTTGTTGGAACGGCTACTAAAATCCTTCCCTTATCAAAACCGGTCTGTCTACACCGAAATGAGAGACACACACCTCTACATATAGTTGTGCTTGCACACTAGAACATATGATAGTTATAATGTCGCTTGATCACCAATCAGATGACATGGCAACAACGGGGTAGACTTGAAAGCCTGACAATAGCTGTTAGGCGTGTCTGTACGGATGCTCTCAATTAGTCAGTGAGTCGAGCTACAAGCCACCGTGCAAGCGAGATATGCTGGCAGGAGACGGAAAAAAGGAACCGGCCGACGACGAATATTAGGAAAAGTGGCCACAGCACAGGCTTTGTGGACGACGCACACGTTGCGATAGGATAGGCCAAACGAAAAGATCATGTCTCCTCGGATGATAGGAAGATGATGACTAACGGTGATCTCCTGAGAAAGGTTGGCATAATACATGGACTGCGGACCGGAGACATGGATCGCAGATTCGATCAGTTTGTGTTTTTGTATGCTGACCGACCCGCATAGGTTTGTTCCTAAGGGAAACCTGAGAGGTTGTTTTTCTCCTAAGCCATACTTCGACCGAGGGCGGGAACGCGGCAGATCGTAGGCTATCTTGTCTCCTAGTTAGCCTAACGAGTGCGTGGGCCTCTAGGATTTTGTACGGTATAAAAAGGATGCGATGACACTTTACCACATCGCAAGTGTCATTCGTAACCTTTACGAAGCAATGGATGAGCACATATCGAAGTAGCTTTTGGTCTTTGTCAATAATTGGGGTTATGTTTTATTGAGAAATATACATTGCTGGTCCACCTCAGTCAGAAGCACACGCTAAAAGCTTTGACTCAAAAAGGAAAATCACATTTAAAAATGCTTTATGGTTATAAGTCTTTATGGTGCAAACATAATAACCGATTTTCTCGTTTACTATATGGTACAAGCAGTGTTTTTCCAACAACTCTCTAATTAATTCTAGTCGTTTAAGCTTATCCAGGATACTCTTGATACCCAAAAAAAATCGCTGAGCGTCTGTTTTCAAAAAATGTAAAGTCCGAATGAAGTTCTAAAAGTATCAAACCTTCGAACAAAAACTTAGGAAGATGTAGTCAACTTGCAGGCTAGGAAATGAGACTCTTCCAATTTAACTGGTGTCCTGTCGATCGATTTTTGCGAAAAACCTACATTTAAGCAGCTATAGCTTTTGCATAAAATAACCATGTAATTTTCCTTTGGAGTCTGTAATTAAAGGACTCCTTTTGCCGACTTGAACATATTCAAATTCACTTCGTGTGAAATAGATTTATTATTGAGAAACTGATGACCTTGAAATTTCAACTATACTGTACAAGGCTCCGAGGCTAAATAAATCCTAGGTAAGACAAGGTATCGGATGCGACCTGTACGAACGATCTGCTTTTTGCTTTGAGGCCCTAAATTAGGGGTATTTCTTTTTCTTTTTTAATAAAAAAAATTGAAACACATAAGTGTACGCATTTTCATAAACTTGCACGGTTATCATCTGTAATAGACGAGTAACAAAAACAGATTAAGGCGAAAAAAAGATCCTACACTGGCTCTAACGGAATAATGCCGTTTTCACGGAAAACCTCTTTTTACAATATGGATTGAGTGTCCCGGTATAGCGTACGTATACCTAAGTTGCAATAAATGGCTATAGCTGGATAATGAAATATGCATGTATGTATTATATGTCTTTACTTAATTCAAAAATTGTTTGTTACCGATGGATTGCAGCATAAACTCTGCGAAGGCCGTGTTTTACTTCCTATGAACAGCTTTATAATAGGCACGTAATCTCATTTGCTAGGAGCGTATGTCCTTCAAAATCTCTTTGATATTACAACTTTGTTGAAATTACAATGTAACTTAATAGATTAGTAACACACGCTTCGTTAATTACTTACAGACAAAATGTCTCAGAAGAAATTTAGACCGTTTCGGAAGAAAATCATCAACTTTATCTAAGTTTTTTCATATCACATGTGACATGCATACGAAGACTTCAGTTTATATAGAAAAATGAACAGTAAATATTTCTCAATAATAATAATTATTTATATATTGAATACTATAGCCGCAAGCTGGGTCTCAGCAGTTCACTAGTCGGCATAACTGACCAATATTTTATGAATCAAATTAAAATAGGAATTATTCATACTAACCAGCAGTAAAATGACGAATAGCTTCAATTGTCAGATCTACAGAAGTAAACAATAGCTACTTTGAATCGGTACATAAATATCAGTATGAATGGAGAAGTTACAGCCTTAGGTGGTAGAACGTAAGCCCCTACTTGTACAAGGTTATTAGATAGCAGTACGTAGTAGCATACGATCGGCTTAGGACAGGTTTATTTTAGTACTATATACCTTTTAAGCCATCGCTGCCCTTGAACACCGAGGAATATTCGGTATTGGCCAATGAGTGAGCATTTAGCCGAGTGACAGGCAGGTCTAAGCTCGTCTCCCTATATCTTCTCAATGCAGTTTTTGATGTAACATTGTTGAGATGATTCTTGTTGCATCTCGTAGCACATCTATCTGGGGGTCCCATCGAAGCGGAAGGCTATTGTGTCGCGAATAGATCCGCGCCACAGAACGCGATCGCGTTTGCTGTACTGCTGGTCCCAGCTCCTCTAACGGCGAAGGGTTACGACGTGGATCTGGTTAGGATACGTATATTTAGCCAGGAGATCCGCAGTGATCAACAACAAAGAGAATTAATTTCTGGTTACATATCGGATTGTGCGGGCACCCATGTCTCAGAGTTGCCACGACAATAACAGCAGCAGTCAAATTTGGACCGCTTAAAAAAATTAGATTGGGTTAGGTAGCCTCTTCAGGAATAGGGCGATGTCTAACGACACACAGACGCCATAGTAATAGATCGATGGCATTCATGCAACAGCGTCGTGACTTCAGATGTATTATGCATGTATCATCTTCATATTAGCCTCTTATGGCATACAAAACACGCTGACTTAGCAGCGGGATGGCGAGGCAGACGACAGAGACGCGGGAAATCGGAGTGAGCCGCTGAGATCGAAAAATCCGAAAGCAGATGACATCGGTCCGATCGAATCGACTACCGAGAACCTGAATAGCCTGAAAAAAACTGACAAGTGATTGGCGGAAGGACAATTGGTCCCATTGAAATATTGTACGCTTATTATATAGAAAGAAAAGTCTGACATTGTCATTTGTATGGTTTGGGCTGCTATAGGATATTAGAGGTTAGTGTACGTCGCTCTATCGTAGATCTTACAGTGAAGCATTTCGGGTGCATCCGATAAGTTAAGTTCCAGGAATAGTTAGAGATGTGAAGTTTAAAACTATCAGAAGGGAACACTGATCAAAAATCGTTGTTGCACATATGCTACGAAAGTTCAAGTTTATTTCGAGAATTTGTGAAAAGGATCTTATCATTGGATAAGGTAAGTTGCCCGATACCCGGTTACTAAATTTGATATGATCAATTTAATGTCATAAGACATTGTTTTTGGAGTAATTGCTCGCATAGATCAATCAATTTACCGCGGACTGCTCGAGATTATGTAGCAACCGGTGTTTTTAAATAGGCTCGTATGTTTATTTGAGCCTGTGAATTTGTTAGCTGAATCCTACAATCCGATAAACTCCCACAGACAACTTTTGTGGCTCTTCAAACAATTCTAGTATTGTAGTTAGAATATGTACAATAAGTAATGGTTTACATGACGTCACATTAAACAAAAACAGGCTAGTACACTTAGTGTTAGAGCAACTGCAATTGGAGCAAATAACAGTAGATAGTCTTAGTGTGGGATTATTTTTAAAATTCAAGGGCTACCAGTTAAAACTTTTGTCCTTTCCACAAATATCACAGCAATCGCTCGAGCCTTTTTAAAGGTCATAGTAGGAAAACAGCGCCCCCGGATCAGTATGAGCTCAGCATGGTGCCACACACACACAGTATCAAGAGCAAATCATCTCGGTTACTGATTCAGACCGGAGCAATTTTATCTGCACGACGTGCAATTCAATAGCAGCCAGCCAGACTGACAACCATTAATATCTTCCTGTTCATGAAGAGCTGTAATGAAAAAATGATGAAAATCTTGATGAAGTAAACTTAATGAATTCACGATCCGATGCATCGGAACGAAAACCAATAGTAAGTTCAAATGGTCAACCTTTTCTTACATTTTTCGTGTAATCGCTTGCATTGTTATGCGTTCAAAGTCTAGCGACTTCTTTCTGTTCGCAAAGCTCGACTGATACATACTGGTAGGGTTTCCGATCTTGCGAGATATAGGAGACTGCTGATGCGTTAGTTTCCTCAACCATTGAGGTACCTCTGCGATGTGAACTTAAGCCTCGTTATATTAGTCCTTTTAATATAAGTAACATCATGATCGTCATTATTGATATAGGTTTATGTGTACCTTGGAAAAGCGAATTGTATTCGGGCACTCCTTCTGGTATAAGTAGAGCTACATTAATACCCATATGGGCCACATGAGTCCCAACTCGTGTGCTCCTATTAGATGAAGTGCTTCTATACAAACGAACCGTAACTCGTCCGTGTGTTGTGTTCAGAGCTAACGGGCCGTAAAGCGTATGGGCGTTCCTTGCAGAGGGGATTATCGCGGCTGCATGTAACACTTCTAACGGAGTTTGCAGCCTCACGCATCAATCTCATGTCTATAACTGAAGTAAAATTAACGCTAGCTTTTGGCGGTCTATTTGCTGAGAAGCACTGACATCAATTTTAAAGCTGATAAGCCTAGTTTCGATCTCGGCTCCTAAACGGGAGTGAAGTTCTGCTATGAGTCACTGTGAGTGAGGCCAAGGAACGTTTTACCAACAAGAAATGGCAAACAAAGTTGACTTCCATTGGACGTTCATTCAATTCGAAGGACAACGTATGGTTCTCAAGTATGTTGTATTGGCCAAAAAAAAATTCCAACGTATCACAAACTTATAATTAGACGGTCTTAGAATATTATATCAAATACAGTGTGAGTTTGCTAATGTTAGCGAGCTAGACTGTGATTTTCGACAGCTGTCAGTTGAGTGTTTGATGTCTTTCCCTGAATCTGAAGTAATCATAATGAGTAATATTAGACTAATGTGACATCTCTCTGTAAGGACGATGTACGAACGTTATTACGTTATGTTCTTCCTTTGGGGCATCGTGAAAATGAGTCCGTTCGATTGTTGACTTGTTGCGCGTGTGCACGATATAATGAAATTTTCGTTTCGCCCATTAACGAGCCATAGTGATCTCGTGAATAGTAAATGAGAAATGAGCAAGTACTTGGATAGTGAATTAGAGGGTCACAAATCGCTCGTCTAAAGCTATAGATTTATTGAACTGGTTGCTGAACAAAATTCCCAAGCCGCTTCAGCCAGCCGAAGGCTACGCTCAACTTTTTCCATTGTTGTGACGTAGCCATATTTCTTGCGTACTGGATTTCAGCATACGCTTTCCTTCGTACATATCTTTCTTATGTTTATTCCAGTCTTAGTGCTCTAGCTCTACTAAATGACGCAAGTAATCAACCATAAAAGGTACGTAAAGGAAATATGCAGCTTGGAGAGCCTCTGCACTTAAGCTACTTGAATCGGCCTTATCGTATTACATAGAGATATTGTATATCTGTGGCCTAAATGCCCTAATGACTTGTAATTTACCAACTGATCTTTTACTCAATCTGTTGTTTTTCTCGAGTGAACTAGCACATATCATACCTCCTATAAGTTAATGAATAAATCACACCTCTTAGAAGCAGATTTGTATTCGAGCATCGAAGTTATTCGTCTCGGCGCTAATATTTCTTAGTTCCCGCTAATTCAGTTCCTCGTGACGTTACCGCCTTGGTGCTAATGTATGCTAGCACCAAAGATCATCTCCATTCCCCTTTAAAAGTTAAGTTAATGTTTAAAAGAGAACTCATGTTAGATGCTTGAGGCATTACTCCACGAGAAACAGTATTACGTCTGCGCCATTGTTGGTCCTATAATTGTTGGTTGGTTCAGGTACCTGATAAAAACATACGTGACTGGAACTTGATGAATTATTACAATGACACTCAAGGCTTTACTACAGCTTTTGGGCATTTTCAACTAAATTGATTCGTATAACGTTATTCAACTTGGAAGGAACCTTGAAAGAGGCGTATGACTATTCTAACTGTATGCCATAGCCGACACCTACTTACTTCGAACGATTTCTTTGACGTGTTACCAGTTAAATATTGATTTGTCAACCCGCCGGTATTCTTGATAAATTATAGAAAAACGTATCTACTACTTAGTTCAAAAGTCAAGGATTAACCGAATGAAATGACTACTTATGAAAGCAAACCTCGCTAAGAACTTATTTTTAAAAAACCTAATGGTGCTCTGATAGGCTTTGAGCTCCCTGAGAAAAGAGTCTCAAAAAAGGCACCTGAACATCCCATGCAAAAGTATTTGATGCAAATTTTGTCCCACTATTACATTATCGAGCCATGACTGTCCTGTTACAATTTGAACATCGACTTATAAATGTACGTTTTTTTTTGCGTTACTTAGGAGGAGAGATTATTATAGATTTAATAGCCGAAATCTGGACACATTGTACATCATTGATTTCGCTGTGCTGTAGAGTTTGGAGGACCTGCAAGGTCTTTAAAGCGACTCTACATATGCACATCGATACGAAAGTCTCTTTCAAGATGAAGATACCGGGGAGACAAATGCGAAAAATCCCGTTAAGTATGGCACAATTTCAAATATAATATGATTCAAAATGACAATATTCGATAAGTACCCTCGTCGTGTCCTACTACATTGAAACCTATCTGACCGGAAATTACACCTCCTTAGTAATGTCATATCAGTGAGTAATGACGGTACAAAAGTCTCTAGAACGTAGTAACGGAACCTTGATAAATTTCTTGTTATTTAATTGAATACTGAGACAGCACATTGCTGCTTGTTAAAACAAATGCGATTTTCTGGAATACGCTGTAGAGAAACTATCGATAGTCGGGCTGCGACCCTATGCATGGATAACTATGTGGCAAAGTGGACCGATCTAACGAGGCTATGATATAGGTTCCATTGTAGGCTTTTAAAATTAGACAGGCTTTTCCCGTGTGTGTAAAGCAAATGGCATTCTCGTTTCTGCTATTCGGAACGATGCCTTGGACAAGGAACGCTTTTCATACCAACAAAATACGCTATGACATGAATGCGAAAAAAAAACTTATCTTTAATATCGAAGGTCACGACGTGCACTCGGGTCCTATTCCAAGGGCAATTTGCCTCTAGAGCACCGGTCTCTGGTTTCACATCACGTCCCTTATCTACCGTACACCTTACCGTACAAAGTAAAACTGTGCGAGGAAAAGTCGATGTTTGCCCTGAAATTACCAGCTAACATGTTATGTATTCTCCTCCGTATCTATTCTTCTTACTTAAGTAATTTCTATGATCATTTGCACGAAAAAAGCATTACAGCAGTGAGAATTTTCCAGACTAGCACGTTGTATAATTGGTTTTCAATGAATGAGCAAAAGGTTGTCTTTACTCATCATCACTAACCCTGTTTAATAATTTCTTGCTGGCTATGACGATCTAGATTGCCACAGGTCATAACATAAGAGAAAACATAAGAAGCAGATGGAAACACACACAGCATACTCATTATGTAGCTTTTCGACGAGTTTTTAGTGAAATTCTTACATTATAATATAACATGAATAGATTTGTTCTATAAACTCCAGTGTACGGGGAACTTGTTTTCCGTGTTCGCTGGTAATAAGTCAATATTTATGTTCGTCGACGATTTCCTTTTCTGCCTCTTGTTTGACGTATTAAGCTTTAAACTATCGTAATTATGTCCTTATAATACTGCACACGCGACGTGTTCGTTGCTGAACTTCGAAACAAGAGATGGCTTAAGTTCGAAACCGGGCACAGACATATTTCACTTCGTGTTCGGAGCCAGCCGTCTGACGCAATACTTCACGTCTCAATTACCGGACGTCAAGGTCGAAACATTTATTTTTCCAACTAATATACTAAGTGCATCCTCACCATCTCGACCGTTGAGCCTGTTCCGGCCGTGGAAAGTAGTAATAATCATTCGTGACACCCGCATCTCCTTGTCTAATATCTACATAATACCGCCGTCTATTACGCGTTAACCCTACGCAACCCAACGCGTCCGATCAGTCCTCTCGAATGCCTAGGAAAAGCCTGCTTTGACGCAATAGTCTTCCTCGGATCTGTGTCTAGTTACGACAAATAATAAAATAAGGTCAGATGGTTACTAGAAGTGACTAATAGTTGGCCGTGATGCGTCACTCCACAAAAAAGCATCTAGTATATTTTCTGGGCAGGCCATTGAAGGCTTGAAGTGCTTCACAACTTCCGAACCTGAAGCGCCTATAGACACTGTCTACTGCGACATCCGTCACCATAGTCACGAGTGTCCACGTGTCGCGCATAGACAACGTCAAGTGCCTGGAATATATTGTATTAAATATTCGGTTAGAAATTGAACTAAGACGCACAGCACTATCGTGGATAACTCGACAATTCATTTTAGCTCAATACATCCCAAGCATTGCATGTATTGGTAATGGGTGATGCCAAATGGCCCATGATGACGCTTTACTTTTGCTCCGGTCAGTTAACAGACGCCGTTTGCTTATGCTTGTTTTTACGGCTGGTCCTTTTCCTCGTATAAAGGTACAAATATGAACTCATAAGTTTAAGCTACTTACAGAGTAATAGCACTTAAAATTAACTTCTCAGCCCAACGCAACCCAAAAAAATATCATAAATTTTAAAAGAAAAAAAAATTCTGCCTCAGCGTAATTTTCCAACGTCATTCAATTAAGTCTAAATTGTTATTAAGATGTAATTCTTTTTCCCCTATTATGTCAGGAACATAAAAAAGACAAAGTTTAATAACAATATAGGTACACTACGGTAGAAAGTTGAAACGTAAACATGTAAATATTCTTTGCATATGGTACCATAAACGTAACAAGATACAATGTAATGTCCTGAAAAGCTAGGAAAATTTAATCTGGCAAAATAACCCAACAGTAATCTTTTCATCAGTAATCTCGCCATGTATGTAAATACTTGTATCGTAATCAAACATGGCTCGCAAAACAACTGCCCGTAGAAAGTTATTAGAAAACTGGTTTTTCAAATTTATTTTGAAAAAAAAAGTGCAAGAATATAATTTAGCTACTATACCGAAGCGCAAATAATACTAGCCAATTAACTTAAGAAAAAAATACTTAACGCAAATAGAAGGGCTAAACAGAGTGACGTCAGTTACCGTTGGCGTTTGCACGCGTAAATGCGCCCTTAAATAAATGCTAAAGCTATATTTCTACGCTTTCCTTTGCATATGCCATCATTGTCGATTTAAATCCGAAAAACCATTTGAGTAATCTACCTATATATATATATATATAGTAAAGGATATATGGGTTTTTAGAAAATTAACGATTCTTCATCTTTTAGATTACAAGACTGCGAAAGCTTGAAGGACATACTGGTCTATTTTTTATGTGGTACCACTGCCGTTAGTTAAATATCGGTCCATCGTCCGTATCCTCTCGTTCACCAACCTCCGTAATCAATAAGGACACGGTAAGGTTAGGAGCAGTTTCGTAAGGGTTACGCTTGAATGAATGTAGGTGATCGGTAGACTAAGCACCATCCTCATGTCAAACAAATTGAATTGGCAACAAACAACCATTACGGTGTTCTCCTGTGATGGCATTACAATACTGATTTTCCTAACGAATAAGCAGAGCTTCTACTAATTTCGCAGGACACAATCTGTGACGTCAGCTGTCGGCCTTAAAGTGTGAAATATGCAACAGCTAAGCTAGATAAATCATGTGGCACCCTGATACATTATTCTAACTGGAACCCTGTGGCATGAGTGTCAACTTCTACGAGCGAATATAGGTATCGAATAAGTTTGGGCAAAATAAATCAAGACAACTCCGCCATTTCGAGCTCCCAGCAGTAGCTGGAGCTGGAAAAGCTCTTTAACGTCAGGCCTGATGATTTCTGGCGAGACGGATTAAGTGCTTCGATGGCGGCGACGGACACTGATAACAAACACGTAATAAATACATGTTTCATTTCTGTTACGTGAAAAACTCTCTTTAGAGCTTATAAAGTATAGGGTAATAAATAGTTTCAGAGAGGGCATCCGTCGCGTAATCACAATTTTAATGCGTATTCGTCGTGTTGCCCGCCTTTTTATCTACATGTATTATTTGTCTCATAAGTATGATGCGCTAACGAAACTATTTCTTTCGCGCCCTCGATCGGCTACGAAGCTATCGTATATAGCTCTTCCTGAAGGAATTGTCGTCACGCCAATGAGTGTGTCAGTTAAGCGATCGATGACACAGTGGTACGCAGCTAACTCCAGTACTTCTCACCTATCTACCGTCGCGGCAAACGCTTTGTCCTTGCTGCGCATCAGGAACGAAACAAGGACCTATCTTTTTTGCGAAAGTAGATGTGTGGGTTTCGCATACTCTTGTACAGTAGCCCAACGTAGCCAATATTGCAACAACAAAGGATTGTCCAATTTGTAGCCGTACTATTTTTATTGTGACAGCTATTATCACGTAGCGCGATACCAGACTCAGTCGTTTGCGTGGAAGGCAGGCACGTTCACTGAGTGACGTTACGTCCCCCCATCGATGCAATGCAGACGGATCACTGACTGATTGGTGGCTAACAACGCCGATTTGACAGTTATTCTATTAATTTCGTTATCGTCTTAATCGATGCACCCTTTCCGGTATTCGACAGAAAAATGCAAGTATGTAAACGCGTATGGTTAACTAGGCCTCTGCTGGAAAAGAGCTTTTTTGCAAACGTATGCTATTTATAAAGCTAACGTTTCAGATATATGAGAGCAGTGGGATGTGAAGAGCTCAAGCAACACGTGTGTAAATCTGAAGATATTTGAATAAAGCAAATTAATTTATCAAAAACGTATGCCGTAAAAAAAGACACCTCTTCGGCATCGATACAAAAATAAGTACGAGCTTTTCGCGTTTGTATTCGCACAGTATGTCCCCTTCTTTTCCGTAGTACGTAACACAGGCACGAAGTGTTAACGATTCTAAAAAAATCATCAATTCTAGCTAGTGCCCGTTGGATTGACGCTATGGTGCTCGTAATTGCCAAAAATTATCGCTAACGATGCTCACAGTAGTGCCCGTGACGCCCAACATAAGTTAATATGCTAGCCTTTACGTTTGATCATTTTCGTTGCAGTAGATGTTCGTATAAGGCTAAATAGTAGTTACCAGATTTGGCTTGTGGCATCGCTAGAATCATCAGCATTTATAATGCCTACCTATTTTTTTAGCACGTTTTCTGAGTCATCAACCAGACGCACCGCTCTGCTTTCGTTCACTGGTGACGTCATGGTGCGTCAGATCTGACCGTCGTATTTTATGGAAGGGTTTTTCTCGTTGCTGTGGTCTTACTAATCGCATCGAATCTTGCGCTACAGAAGGACACGCCAATAATATCTGCTACAGCAAACTTACGTTATAAGATCATTCTACGTAAAAAAGCAACTGTTACGTTAATTAAATAAGATCAAATAACTCAACATTGACTAAGCTCATAGAACAGCTAAATTCGAAATATTTCGACATTCTATAAAGCTCTTAGTGGTACAGATTAGCTGGTCAGTAGAACTTGTTAGAAAAATGCGAAATGACTTCTAAGGGTGTAGATTATAATGGTGAAAAATCCCACAGCAAAATGTGTTGGTCCAGAATTACCTGCAAACAACATCGATTTGAAGCCGTGCCTTAGGCATAATTTTCTATATGTAAAAGCCAATCACTCATGTTTAAATGTCGATACAGAACATGCCGTATATACTGCTTAAACAAATCGGCTTTCTCACTTTTTTTTTGAACTTTTGCACTCACCGTTCCATGCGGGCGCAAACAGCTACTGTTGTCGCTCTATCTGGGTACAGCGTATTTCGCTGCTAACGGTACTCCGAGATATTGGCTAGCGATACTGAAGCGGCGCTTCTTACTCTACGGTAATAGATGTCATAAGGCGATGCACGTAAAAACTGCACGACCTATTCACGCCAACCGTGGTATTTTTAGCGGTGGCCATCGCGAAGAAGGGTCGTCGTAGTCGGCCGTTCGTTCATTCGTTGTAATATTTGTGTATGCTGACCGCCCATAACCGCCTGGCACTGCGTCGCATGGTCGTTCGCTCGTTTGAACGTCGGCGCCACGCGATCTTCGGCCGCCGACGATGATGATGATGGCCTTCCATCTCACTGTTCTGGTAAATACAACCACATTACGACCAATCGCATTGTAAATACTGTGACGCACGCTCTCGTGGTGTAAGGGGATTCTCTCTCCCTGTTACGGGCGCGGAGTCTCGCTTGCGTCTTGCCCGACGTCAATCGCTGCTACTACCGGTATTAGTCTGGCCTACATAGGCAACCGGGTCTGGTGAAAGAGTTCACATCACCGCACGTTTTGAGAGGGGCAGGCGTGTCGTAGTAAGAGTAGGGTACATTCATTTGTGCCTCCGCACTCAACTCCATCGATATCACCCTACCAACACCTAAGCGCTTCAGGAAAGGCCGACTAGGCTTGCCACAAGCCCCATAGATTTCACCAGAAAGTCAATAGGAGCTGTCCTATAAATAGTTCAGTTACGATGAAACTACTTCGGATGTTTGTGTTGGTAGGGATTACCATTTCAAGCGCCGTATCACGTCATGTCTATCCGTTCCGGTACATCGGTGCTATGCCGGATATGGTTCGCATGGTGGATGATCCACGCCAGGTCGGAGTAGACGAAGCCCTCATTGAACCACCGCGATACGTCGCGAAACAACGAGACCTCAAGACGCACGATTTCTACTCTCACGATCCACAGGATAGCACAGATGTCAATTATCCCGCTGATAAAGGTATTCGTGACCAGGAAGATCACAGGGGTTATCCGGCACCAGCTGTTATCCCCACAGGCACAGATAACGCTGTCCCTCAAGCTACGCTTCATCAATACCCCGGACCAGAGTACCCCCAAAATCAGTACATTCCAGCAATTTTTCCGCAATTTCAGCTCGGTAACGTTGCACCACGCCAAAGTCATAGACAGGTACTGAGTCGAACTGGCACCCAGTTGGTGTATCCCCAACATCAGCTCCATAGTAAACTGCAGTGCTTTTCTGTTGGCAGCTTGCGCAATGAGGCGATGGACGCGTGGTGTGTTATCAACTGCAATCATACGCCATCGTTCTGTCCGCTAAGCCACTGTGCTTGCAGTGCATACGAAAAAAAATAGTACATATGGCCGATAACGAAAAGTGATTAAAAAGGAGTCAAGGAGTAGCGTTCTCCTGAGAAGCAAAAAAGTTGTTTGCCTTGTTTTGAAATCAAGAAACGACGATTTGGAAACTCTATGGTCATAATTCCTCTCGATGCTATATTGAAATGCTGAATACGGCTGGCTATGTACACTCGTAAAGCCCGTGGCTTCACACTGTTTCACGTCATCCACTTTATCGCGGTGATACAGAAAAAAAAAACTATAAAATATTGTCTTGTTGTATACACTAAAAATAGCCACGAACCTTTTCTCCAGTGGCTTGAGTAATTAACATTTAATTCAAATTCAAGGATGCAATGGCAAGAAAAAGTGTCATTTTGTAATTCTAGCAGTCACTGTTTGTACAAATCATATCCTATTTAATGGGAGCTTTTCATCACTGATGAGAACCTCGCTGTTGTTAGCTTGTAGACCTTTTTATATATATGGGAAAACGGTTAAAATAAATGTGCAGATTATATCGTTGACCGAGACCGTTAATTGTAGACTATTTAAATAGATGTACATATGATATTACACCGAAGTTGGAGCAACGAATGAAAAGTAGGAATAGTGTACTTTTTAGAAGGGTATAGAATCGGGCGGAGCAATGCAACATCACTGAAGGCAAATTTGTAGAAAAGTAAAGATGGACTAGTCGTAGTTTGTGTTAGGTAAATGGAACTGCATCAGAAATAGCAATAGAGCACAATGTTACGCAGGCCTGCAGGCCTATGAACATTTTCATGACAGGAAGGCATTGGGTCGCAACTACTATGACCATTTGTATAAACGCTTTTTTATAGACAATGGTTACTTCTTACTTATTTCATAGACACACATCTCTTCATGAACAGACACCCGTACAACAGAGCAAGGCAATGAAAATAGTGTATGATATAACATGTTTAAATATATGGCGGGTCATATCGTGCGCCATACGGTCGCCCGCAACTTGTATGCCCACATATTAGGCATACAAGTTGCGGCTGCCAGACAACACGTTCTGAGATCAGCCGAGCAGCACTATCAGTGTCATGGGCCAAGTTGCAAGATATCCTGCGATCTCATCTGACCATGAACCTTTTCGACTGGCTTGAGGGCAACGTTATAGCAATTTGCGATCCTCATTCAGTCTTTGTTCAGAAGTTGTGCTTACTCGCTCTTTTTAACCAGATTCCTTCTCCGTGCTGCAACACTCCCATTGCAGTTCTGATGATTCAGCAACCGGAATTTGCTGTTCGAACACTAGTTGGACCCCTCATCGACAATGTTGATCTTGACAAATAATGTATCGTCTGGAGTAACTTACAAAAAAGGAGTTTACCTTGCAAAAATAAATGGAAAAGTAATTTTAACGTGTTTGGTTAGCTATTATTAGTAGGTTCAGCTACTAACAATCTATTGCCCCAAGCGGTATCAAAAAGCTAGCAACGGTACGAAGGCTAAAACTACTTAATATGTATCGAAATAGTCCTGTGATGGGAATCTTTCGGCATTGTTCGAATACGAAATACGATGTTAGAATAATAGAATTGGCCAAGGAATAATCAAGCTGTGTACTGTTATTACACAAGCAGAACCAGTACGCTTCGTATATGCGAAAAAAAATATCAGCAAAACAGAACCTCTATTGATTCCTTGATTTATCCGCTGCTTACGTGCCGTTTGGAACAATGTTAGTGGCACCGTCATAATCGTGACCCAACACAGATCACCATGGGTCAGCGACCCTGCCCCTCTACGTGATCGCAGAAAAGCCTCGCAACGTGTGCATTCAGTGCTAATATTACATAGTTTTTTTGGACAAATTCAACTTACTTTCAGACTCTTTAATTCTATTATTGACGGACCAGCTAAGAATCTATCTTCAAAGTAATGATTCCACTTCTTTTTGGCCCGTACTGTTATCATGGCTGATGCGGAAGTCATATGTATCATTGACATATTGCATTTATTTCTTTCGGTATTACCGATCCAGTATCCGGTTTAAATGAATGGCCCAACGGCGACATTCGAATACTCAAACGTATCACTCGGCCATCCGAGTTAGAAACCTAGACCTAGCTAGCATGTAGCCTATATGTACATTTACGATTATGAAGAGAGCAGAGCTGAGGCATGATGCTCATCATGTCCTTCATTTATGGCGACGTGAGCCTACCTTGCTGACAGCTCGGTAGTCGAAATAGAAGGCAAACACAGATAACCAATTTCGAGGCCGTTCGGCGAACGTCAGCCAACACTATAGTACATAGTGTTACAGATGCTACGTCGATAGCTCAATGAGCGATATAGATCATCGGCAAGCTGCAAAAAGCCAACTGAAGTAGAAATGGTAGGCTTTCACGTTTAGTAAAATATATTTCTCTTAGCGCGTATAGGCAGAAAGAGACACAATATCGATTTTGAGGGGCAAGGCTATATAAAGCTCGCCCCGAGGGCGGAAAGGGTTTGTTGAAACAGCTGATGCGTATCGTATCTATAAGAAAAATGCGAGTAGTAGAAGTAGTACTAGTTGCCAGCGGCTTATTGGTTGTGTGTCTATTCGAGCGAATATTTAAGTGAGTGACTCGATAATGCGGACAAAGGGGCAACTGTGGACGTCCGACTATCTTTTTTACACGCCCTTTACTTAGAAACTATAATGAACGTTACCATTGTACCCATTCGTAGAACTCGATGGATTAAGATCAAACGAAGCGCTGGAAAGACGACTGATTTACTGGACTGAGCATTGTTAACGACCGGAAATGGTCTACGTGTAAGCAGAAAAAAAAGCGAGTATCACGACAAGCACAATAAATATAGTGTTTACATAACGAATGCCCTCTGTAAAGTTAACTCTTCTATTACTGAAAGAGAAAGCGATTCGTGCAGTTAGTGTACCTGAGAAAAAAATAATAACGAAGTTAAAGTTACTTAGAAAATGTTGTAAGCCTATGTTCAAGGCAAAAAGTAAACTTTTGAACTGACTCAAGCTTGATATGTATTGACTATCCGCCAGCGTAACGGTGAAACTTCTGAATAACGCAGATACAACAAACGAAAGGAAAATTTGATTGGTTAAAAATTAATACAACAATTTTGTCCAGTTCTTTAGTGTCTCTGCATGGCTTTTTCTGGCATTTTGCTCAAAAATGGCCATTAGATCTACACCTGCTGGTAGACGGGCCGGTAGCTAGCTTTGGACGCTATTGATTTAACGCGGCATTTTTAAAAGCATTCTGCTCGAAGTTTTCTCATTTAGACTGGAATTTTCGCTAGACGTAAGAAACGGTTACGGCATCATAGAACAAAGATGTGTCAAGCAGTACAGTGTGGTATCTCTGAATCACGTGGCTGATGGTGATAGTTTTGAATAGCGTACGGAATCGTATAGCCACTGATCCATAGCTCATTTGTCTTAGATATCGGAGAAGCTTGAACAGTCAGCAGGAGGTCTTAAGATGTACTCGCTTCTGTAGTACAATCGAACCAGGCAGACAGCAAGGCTACAGTACCTCGAACTACTCGATCAAATCGGGAATTTTTCGCGCCTCGAAAGTGATAGATCCCCGATAGACCGAGCCAACGACAAACTGAAGCCTAGAGCTGGTTTTAGAGGAATAAGAAGCGCTCGTTCAGCTTATAGAGGGAGCATCGGCAGTAAGCAGGGTGCAAAAACGTATTCCTTTTTTTCAAATTAGGATTCCGATTGGGTTTCGTGGTGCAGTATAAAGTAGTAAATGATACTACGGGCATTCGGGCCATTGTTTATAGGTGACAGGTTATCAAAAGCTAATTAAAGCTTTATAGCGATTTTCAACAATAATCCGTTCAGTTCTAACTTAAACCAATGCGCATAACGAACGAAATAGGTACGAAGTAAACACGACACAGTGCAATCGAACACA